CCTATGATGATGTCACTTGAATAGATATGTGGACAGAGTTGGCATCAGGGTTTGTTACAATTTTTCAGTTGTGATTCTGCTTTTCCTTGTGTAAAGTCATAGTTAGAAGGGTTGAAAACTTGAAATTGTTGTTACTTGATTTTTAAAAGTCTTTGGTCTTAATTCAGCCCTGTGTTGCTCCAGTTTTACATTGCTGTAGCTACATTGAACTCCCTGTGTAGTAGGGATGCCGGCTGATTGCATGTGAAGTAGAACTCTTCTTGAAAGCAGGTCCTTTCCCTGAAAGTCTAATAATATTTAGATCTTTCGTAATGTTTTATATTTTGAAAGCTATTTACCAATATAACTAACCCTAATACTTTTGCTGGAGATGTCTGTATTATTTATCTGCCCTTGACAAATAGGGCGAGATCGATGTTAATGGCCACATTTTCAAATATGGGTGCGTAAAGTTAGTCACCTAAATAAAAGGTGACAGATTTTCATGGGTGATAAGCACCCACAACTGCCATTACTGAAGACAATGGAAGCTGTGGGAACTCAGCACCTCTGAAGATCCAAGCTGTCTGTCCTAAGTGTGATTTGCCCCAAGCCACAAGGTGATTTGGTGGCAGAGACAAGATTAAAACTGTGGCATTCCTGGCTCCCACCTTCTGTGCACCTATCCACTGCCTTTGAAAAGCAAAGTGCGCTATGAACTATGTCCAAACCTGGTCTATGATGTATTCATTGTAAATTATTCTCTCTCCCAGGATGTTTGCATCATTTATTTTATGAATCAGAATTGGCTGTTTAGTGCTGTAATTTCCATTCTAGTTTTGCCACATTTTAAATTACAGTTACAGGGCATCCAGTCTTCTGGCACAGTAATGTTTTCTGGGTCTTTTTGAAAGTTACAAGAAAAACAATCAGATACTGGGGCCAAAGGGAAAAGTCCTTGCGTGATTAAAACTTTTTCTAATGTTTCAAGCTGGTTTCTGCCATCTCTTTTAATTGAACATTTTGTTTCTCTTTATTGGGCTATATTGGTTTTACTGGTAGTGGATTATAAAATGAGCATTATAAGAAAAGTAATTTCTTTCTTATAATATTTTTCTAGTTTTTTAATTAGATTTATGAAAGATAGAGGTGAAAAAGGCCTATTTTAGCTAGTCCTGCTCTGGCCAGTACGAACTTATTCCATACATTGTGTTTTCTAATGCTTTGCTTGGTCTGGTTTTAAATAACTCACATAGTTTAAACCAGAGGTTCTCAACCGGGGTTTGCGTATCCCTGGAGGTACAGACCCTCTGGAAGACCTCTATGTCGACTCATCCTATTGGCCTAGTACAACAGACTCTAGAGCCCTGTGGCAGGTCTGGGATCTTGTGGGTCCCACAGGACCCACTGCCATAACAGCGGCAGAGGGATAAAAATTCAACAAACAACGTGGGAGCGGATATTGCAGGTGGGGCGGGAGTGGGATTTTAAAAATAGTGCTCCCAAGCCACAAAGAGTGGCTTGCCACCTTTACTTCTGTGCTATTGCTGGTGGTGGCTCTGCCTTCAGAGCTGGGCGGCTGGAGAGATTTTAAGTGAGGTGAAACTTGGGGTATGCAAGACAAATCAGACTCCTGAAAGGGGTACAGTAGTCTGGAAATGTTGAGAACCACTGGTTTAAACTATTGTCTTCCAAGCTGTTCTATCCGAGTGGCCTCAAAGCCTCCGGCTCCAGTGAGACCTCTGCAAATGTTCTTACTGACCGGGGACCCAATCCTGCTCAGTGCCCAGTGCTTTCTGCTAATTCCCCCATGTCCCATTGAGCGCAGTGGGAATTGAGAGTGCTCCACACCTTGCAGCATTGGGCCTCTTGCGAGTGTGGTGGGAAACAGTGCTGAACATTTGCCTAGCCCAAAGATCTGTACAAATGTTCCTTAATCCTCTGATGAGATAGGTCTGTATCATTAACCCTCGTTTTACCAGGGGACAAACTCAGGCACGAAAGGGTGAAGGTGACACGGTGAGTCAGTGACAGAGAATAGGACCCAGGGATTCAGTCCTCCATCTCTTGCTCCACCTATTTATTAGGAACCACTCTTTCCAGTACTGCAATAATAATACTCGGGTGCCATCAGTAAGAACGCATTCAATGTAAACTCTGACTTGGTGTGGGCTTGAGGGTATTTTGCTGAAGTTAAAGATCCTTTAAAATAAAGGGTGAATTGGAGGAATGACAAATCCTGTGATACATTGTACCCTTGCAGGACATGACACCAAACTGTAGACTACAAATAGGCTTTTATAGCTTTACAAGTCTGTATCCAAATATTAATGTATTGGGTTGGAACTGGATGAAGAAGACTTAGATGAAGGATGATCCTGAGTAACTGTACCAAAGTATCTTGATAAAAGAGTGTAATGCTATCATGTGATCTCTGTATTAACTTAGTGGAATCTTTGTTTGCTCTCCATTAGCTAGTGCCTGATGGTAAGATTCTGTATCTCCTGTTGAAGTCAGTGGGAGTTGAAGTTCTTGAGCACCTTGAAGAATTGGGCCATAAATGTAGCTAACAGATTCCCAATTTCATCAGCCTGACTCATCATGATCACAGTATATGGTGCTTGTATCTCTGCCAGTCTCTTGGGGTGCAAAAGCAATTGTCCTTGTTTGATTTTTAAATTTAAAAACGTAGAGAACATAAACCTGCCCCAAGGGAAATAATCAGATTGTGATGCCTACTAGTTGACATCAGCAGTGGACTTAGTTTTGTCCAGAGATGCCTAGAAGTACTGTTTGCAAATGTCCATCCCACAAATGAGTTAATCAAGTTAAACATACAGCACTCCCTAAGCTGCTTGAATTGGAGATACATGATTGCTTGGACAGTGAGACTTGTCCTATCTCAGAGGTGAGCTTTTGACCTCCAATAAAATGAAGTTCTGCCTTGGAACATGCTGATGATCTGATGTGTAAGAGACTTTGACATCAAATGGTGGTATGATTTCCCCACGGCAGTTGAAGCCTGTTTCTGCAGGACAAGGATTAAATTGAATTTGTCACTGGTATGGCCTGTTTTTACTAAGGTAACGTAGGTTATGTGGTCAGAAAGGAAAAATAATAAAACTTCCAGTTCAAGAATGAGAAGTAAATTTCCTTTTTTTTTTTAAAAAGCAGCCAGGTTTTTTCAGTATTCATATTATTCAAATTATATATGCCAGGCAACGAAGTACAATTTATTGATAATTGATTATTGCATGTAAAATGCTATATTTGTATTATTGTTGCTGTCATCAGATACACTTAGTCCACATAGCAATATAGCTTTTAGTTGATTCTCCTGCTGGATACTTCTACTTAACTTTTATATGGCTGCAAAGCAGTCTTAAGAGTGTAAACACTGTAGGAGGTGAGTACCGATAATAGTACAATCTGCCAGTGCTGCTAAGAGAATATTGCTCTTTAAAATTGTTTAAGGCACCTCAGTGCCACAGCAATGTTGGGGTATCTGCGCATGTGTGTGTTGGTGTTGAGATAGGCCCAAATCCTAGTCCCATTTAAAATCAATGGCAAAGCTCCCATGGACTTGAGAGAGAGCATGGTTTTGCCCATAACCTGTAAAATGGACAATAATTATGCAAACCCAATTGAGTGTCTGTTTTGTAATTTTGTCCTGAAACTGCATATTTGTCTCACCCTTGTCCCCCCCCCCCTTTTTTTTTAAATAAGTGCCTTGGGCAAATTGCAAGTTGACATTTTTTTCCATCTTTTGAAAGCCATTAACTATATGAAGCATAAGCAGCGTCACTCTTAAAATCCTTCATGAAATGTAAGTGACAGGCCTGTTGATTCTGTGCCTCTCTTTTGTTTTGTTTTCAACCCCTAGTTTTCTTTCTTAAAAATTAAAAAACAAACAAACCCAAAGGCTAAGCTGAAAGATGGAACAGAGTGTCTCGGAGAGAAAACCCACCATCACCCCGACTGCAGACTTCGATGTAATGGGTGCCTTAGACTGGAAAGACGGCATTGCTACCTTGCCAGGTAGCAACATACAAGTAAGAAACCAAGGAACAGGGTAAAGAAATGACCGGGCCTTTAGTAATGCACTGAAGTTAGCACATGTTCTTTTCTTTGGTTAAAAAAAAAGACTTGCTTTAAAATGATTATCCCCTGTCAGCTGCTACTGTGACAAAACAGAGTTGGACTCACCAAACAAGTAGTGAATTCCTAGTGAGATTTCTGGCAGCCTGTTGATTTTTTCTTTTTTTCTTTTTCCCCTCTTGACTCTTGTTCAGTTAAGTTAGAGTGTGTAAATATAGCTGCAAGGAGGTATTTAAGAGCCTTCATTCATTGCTGCTCAGACATTTAAGGCCTGAACTTACCATTTCTCAGCTGTGTGGGTACACCTTATTCAGGCAAGAAATCCTGTTAAATTCAGCCCATAATGAGCAAAGGCTATTCTCACGAGTTAATATTTGTAGAACTGCGCCCATTGGTTGCTTTAGTGTGTCTGTGATTATTTTCTCAGCTATTGTCTAGCTACACCTTTCTTATTGGTAGCGGCTATAATGTAACCTCCGTAAATCACAGCTGAGATTTTAAAGGAGGTTGCTCACAAATATGGTAGACAGAAAATGACCCCATCAGTTGATTGTGTTTTCCAAGTTACCCGACAGACTTATTTCAGTTGTACTTTTAAAATTAAATATTCAGGCCACAGTTTCATTGATTTTTTTTTGGATGTCTAACATGATACCCTGAGCCTGGTTTTGTTTTGTTTTTTGTTAAAAGGTGCTGAACATTTACAGCTCCAACTGAAGGGAATTGGAGCGGTGGGTACTCAGAGCCTCTGAAAATCAGGCTCAACATGTCTCAAATTAGGTATCCATTCCAAAATCAGTGGCCTCACTGGAAAACATTGGTCTTTTTCTTTCACTTCCCCCTCCCTCCCCTTTTCTTTGAAAAATCTGCAACCCAGTCATTCAAAGCTTACTTCAGTCTATGAAGCAAATTCTTCCATGCTGTATCTCCACAGAAGTGAAAAGAATAAGTGCATGCATGAATGACCCTGTGTGTCTGAAGTGTTTTGATCAACATATGGGACCTGAAATCAATGGGAATTATACTGACATAAAACCTGAGTAATACAGAATCAAGTTCATGGAGTTCCTAGGAGTCCTGGGGTTTTGTTCAAATTGCAGTTTGGATAATTACTTTCTAATGGCTAACTTGTCTCCTGTATTCCCCTGTACTTTTATTTGGAGACATTATTCTTCACTTCCTAAAAGAAAACCTCTTGAGAAACATTGCTGTGTTCTCTTAAATAGCAGTTATATTCCTCTCCAGAGATGGCTGCATTTAATTGATTCTGGAATAACAGTGTGTGTAGTGTCTACAAAGCATGATGGGATCTATTCAGAACAATATAAATACAGGATTATCAAACACAAAGCTGAGGCCTCAGGTACCACAGTGACTGAGCGTGGTAAAAATGTCCAGGTTGTTCATTATTAACTGGCCTTGCAGGTGTGCGTCTCAGTGGTATGATCCAATAACAGGGTTTTGTTTTGTTTTCAGTGTCCAGTTCCCTTTTATTTTTTGCCTCTTTTTTTTTCTCCCTCATGTACGTCAGAATTCTTGCATGTGGAGGGGAAAACAGCACAGTTATGTTTTTTGTAATGTCTACTTCTTTTGTCTCTTATTAAGGAGAGTGTTTTAAAAAATGTTCATGTGACTTTAGAGTTAGTGAATATGCTGTACTGGCAGCTCTGCCGATTGAAATCCTCTGTTTAACTAGAGAGCAGGTACAGTGCAGGGAGTAGCAGAATCAGTCACCCCATATACTAATGTGCCTTGTCCTTGATCAGTAAGAGTGAGAGTAGAGTTCAACTGCATGGCTCATTCAGTCTTCAGAGACTTCTAGCAAAGACACCAATTGTGGTGGTGGTTTTTCTGATACGAGTGCTCGTCCGCTGGAAAGTGAACTGATCTCCACCAATGCATGTGCTCTCAGGTGAGCCATCAGGTGGTAACCACCTTCTGTCACTACTGGCTTGGGCTGGATTCAAGTTGATGATTTTATATCTAAAAGGCTCTAGATATCTCAAGAATCTAGTCCCTTAATACAAGACTGCTTTAATATCCTTGCTTCCTTCAGTAGTTAGCTCTGCTGTTTAATGGGACATCAGAGCTCTGGTGAGGCTCCCCATTGTGACCTTTTGTTCACAGTACCGGTCTGTTACTATTATATGTGTTGCTGAGGAACCCTCAACCTGCAATCCATTTTCCACTACTGTTCTTCCACCATTTCAAGAAGGAGGTAGTGCCCTCATTAAACCGATGTAAAGACTCCTATAGAAAAGCCCCTCCAAATCCCATGTATATCATTACCATTTGTTTGGGGTGGGTTATCTTTGCTCTCAATTAAATAAAAATAATACTCTTGGTTACTTTGGGATTCAGGGGCAGAAATATGTTTCTTCTGGTGCAGCATCTTTGAAGCTGCGAGGAATACAGGCTGCAGCTCCAATGAGTGGGGAGAGGGTTTTGGGGAGAGCTTTTATAAGCTATGGGTGGAATTGAGTTAGCGATATGGTGAACAATAAGGGTGAAGGAGAGAAGGAAGACGATGCTTCTGTCAGTGGGCCTAAGAGGTCAGGGCTAGTGCTTTTGTGAACCTAGTTTGGTGCGGTGGAGGTTGGTTATGATTTTTAAGGAGTTATATACAACCTATATGCTAGTGCAGGGATCGGCAACCTTTGGCGCGTGGCCCGCCAGGGTAAGCACCCTGTCGGGCCGGGCCCATTTGTTTACCTGCCGCGTCCGCAGGTTTGGCCGATCGCGGCTCCCACTGGCCGTGGTTCCCTGCTCAAGGCCAATGGGGGCTACGGGAAGCAGCGCAGGACAAGGGATGTGCTGGTCGCCGCTTCCCGCAGCCCCCATTGGCCTGGAGCGGGGAACCGCAGCTAGTGGGAGCCGCGATCGTCCGAACCTGCGGACGCGGCAGGTAAACAAACCGGCCTGGCCCACCAGGAGGCTCACCCTGGCAGGCCGTGGGCCAAAGGTTGCCGATCCCTGTGCTAGTGTGAATGAAAACTCTGCCACAGAGTCTGCTAGCGTGAGTGACCTCTAGTAGTTTATTTCTCTTGTTGTTGGGTAGCCATCTCCATATTGCAGAGGATACTGAGATCGAGGGAATGGCAGTTAGTTTTTGTTGTATAATTAATTCCAAGATCATAAGAAAGTCATTCTTCCTTGTGGTGACCTTTGCATACATCCACTTGTAGACTGCGCTTAGTGGCTCTGTGCAGGAACTTGCTAGAAATGCAGTGTCTGCTTGGACCAAGCAAGCACCCTGCTAGGACCCCAGATATTTGAAACCAAGGTTGTAAGAATCCATGCGGTTCCCAGCTGCTTCAGCGCTTTCCTTTTCCATGGCTAGCTGTGAGTATAGACACCTTTGCTCTGCCTGGAAGGATTTTCTTGTTTGTTCACTTTTTGCCCAAATCTGATAGCTTGGTATAGTTATTGATAGTGTAGATAGTTTAGATAGATTTTAGATCATTCTTAACCAGTGATACAGTTTGGATTTCCAGAATGACTCAGTTTTGGTTCTGGGTTTGTATCCAATCCAGAGTTTAAAGGCCCAGAGAAATTGTGTTTAAGTACCGTAGTATGCGTTGTTTTCTTCCAGCTTCCGAGAGTTATAAGCCCATATCTGCTGTTATCTGTTCCTCAGGGGGAGCTGATCCCGGGACTGTTGTTCTGCATGCCGGATCTTTATACCTTGAGCTTGAAAAGACAGTCTCCAGTCTGTCCTGAGGAGGCGGCTCTGTGAGCTAGACTGTCTGATCCACCTTTGGGTCAGTACCCCATTCCAGTGAAGGGATCTCTCCTATTTGTTAGACTTCTACAAGTAGGATTTTTCAGAGGCCACCCTGAAGAAAGAAGAAGTAAGTTACCACCCAGTAGCTGTAGTTCTTCAGTAATGTTGCCTCTGTATATTGCCACATTCCTCCCATCTTCCTGTGAAGTTCATTTGCCGAAGGAACTGATGGGATTGAGAACTGCATGGTCCCTTATAACTCTAACTCCAAATACACCTCTACCCTGATATAGCGCGACCCAATATAACATGAATTTGGATATAACGCGGTAAAGCAGTGCTCTGGTTTCACCTATAATGCGGTAAGATTTTTTGGCTCCCGAGGACAGCGTTATATCGGGGTAGAGATGTACTTAGTGCTGTGAAGGACCATGTGTGCAATCCCCGCTGATGCTGCATTTGTGGAAGGTTCCCAATGCTCAAAGATATGGTAGGGAGTGTGTGTGTGTGGGGTGGGGGGAGAGGTTGGGTTGGTTGTATGGGGGGCAGAGGCGGCTTATCCTACAGGTGTGTGTGGTACTCTCCAAAGAACTGCAGTTACTGGTAAGTAACCTCTTTCTTAACAGTTCCTACTTGCTAGAAGATTTTTAGGTGGGTTGCTACTGTTGTCTATTTATTCATCATAGGCTAATCCTGAACTCAGAACAGGGATTCTGGCCAAGTTGCCGATCTCTTTCAGAGGGCAGATAAGTGGCTCCATTTGTTTCCTAGAAATGCTGTCGGTTTGAATTACATAAAAGGAAAAAATCTGAAGCACACAAGAATAAACGTCGTTTTTCTGTATTAACAGTGAAGCAGATCAATAGCTTTTTTTTATGAGACCACCACTGAACAGGCATTTCCTGGGGAAATAGGATTTTTTTGTGACACCGTGTTGTATGGAAAGCAATTTCTCTTGCCAATGGCGCTTTTTGTCCTAGCTCTGCTTACATATTGAATCTCATGCACGATCATTCCCCCTTTGAAGCCTGTCTGCTGCTGTTTAGTTTGCTTGTCTTCTTTAGCCGCTTTCTTTCTTTTGTTACCTGCAGTTCCGTTTAAGTGAGTTTGGAACATTAGAAATCATTACTGAAGCAGAAGCCATAAAAACTCTCTTGGCTCCAGCAATAAATGCCAGCATAGCCGGCCTTAACCTTGGTGCTTCCACTCCGGCTGCTACCAACACCACTGCTGCCTCTGATGCTGATTCTGAAGGTGAGCTTTGTGCACTGCCGAGGGACCAAATACACAGCTTGATAGGACGCTGGAACCCCATGAAGCGCTTCCTGTAGCAATACAGTGCTTGCTGGCATGAGCTGTGTGGTGGTGGTGATTGATTGTAGTGAATCACTGTATGTTTTTAAATATATATACCTATTTTAAAGTATTTTGAATGGATTTAGTTCCCATATAATCATAATAATATTTAGTGCTTATCTAGCATCCTTCATCTGAAGATCTCAAAGCACTTTATAAAGGTGGGGTAAGACACTGGGCGAGATCTTTGTCAAGCACCCACTCAAAGCATGTCTCAGTTGCAACAGCCACCAAGAGTTCGTTCTTGCAGACGGGGATCACTGGAGTGCCTGGTGATTCCTTTGCCTTGGACACACACCTCATGTTGGGGTGGAGCAGGAGTGGATATCCTACCACTGCGCCAGCCAGAGATTCCCTGTGCCGTTGGAATCCTCCGGTAGCCAGCTGAGCTGGCTTTGTGCTTGCTTGTGCTAATTCTGTCTTGGAAAGCAGGGCCAGGATCTCGCCCATTATCCGTGCAGGAGACTCACTCTGGAAACTTGTGCCTCTAGCATGAATCATGTGGAAACAATCCTTAGCTCTAAGAATTTTGGATCCCTGAGGCTACAATAATCCAACTCAAGGGAACTGCCCTAGTGAGCAAAAGGTACCTCAGGCACCAGGAACATTTCAGGTCGTTCCTTTCAGACCTGCTCCTCCCCCAGGAGCTGCTGCCCAGCAGTTCCAACCAATGCAGCTGCTGTAGCCCTTTTGGGTCTAGGCTTGTGTCTTGTCCTCAGCCCCAGGTGGTGTGCATTGAGCTTGCTAAGTCCAGTAGCGTATCTTCCTTCGGCTCTTATTGTTTAGAGGCAGTTTGAGACTTGGTCACCACATCGAGTCGCTTCCTGGTCATGCCTTGGGATCCTGAAAGTGGTGATGGGAGGCTGAAGGCTGGGGTTAGGGCTCCTGGCACGAAGTCCTGTGGCAGGCCCTGCATCACAGGATCGTGTGTAAAATGTGTCCCAGCTTGGTGCTATGGAGCCCCTGGTGTATCAGCCTCCCTTGGTGCTAGGGAGCGGCTTTTGCACTAGCACCTTGGAGCAGTTCAAGGCCTGTCACTGCCTTGGAGCACGTAGGAACAGCATGGTGCATAAGCTCACCTCAGAGTCAGTCCCCATGTTCGCAAGACATACTGTCTCCAGCACTGCAGGGAAACTCTGACATGTTCTTCTACCAGCACTTCTGGTAGCAAAATGCCTAGTAAGATCAAGAGAGATGGAAGACCATACATTCAGATATACCCATCCTGGCTTTATTGGGGGTGCATCTCTTCCCTGTCACAGAGAGACTAGAAGGTGTTTTTCCATCAGGCTAAGAATCTGGTCTTGGATGATGACTCAGCACTAAGACAGCCTTGCTCCGCTTTAACCCAAGAACGCTCCCCCGATGGTGTGTCTTTCTACAGAGCAGAGCTCTGCAGGCATAGCCAGTTATATAAGTGTTCTTCCTTACCTGCCTTCCCCATGTCTTGAATCAGCAAGTCCTCAAGGGTAGATGGAAAGGGCTCAGGATGTAGTACAAATGGACTCTCTCTGCCGAACTCCAACCCAATCCATCTGGCGTCTGTATTGGCCTATCTGAGGCATCAAATATAAACCATATTTTTCGGTCTTCCAGCAGGATATTACAAGCCTTGGTGAGTGGGGGCCAGGGAAGAATTGAAATAGTACAGATTACTTGACAATTTGTTTTTTTTAGCATCTGAGGCCACGTTTTAGCAAACTGTGTCAAAACAGTCAATTGTGAGCCCAAAATATGCAGCTACGCTTATGTTAGGTATAGTAGATTGCACCCAGCCCACATGTATGCCCAAGTGCATAATTTGTGAATAAAATTACTTTGTTATAGATGAACAAAATGTGCATTACTTTGATGCTAAGTTTTGGAAATAAGGACTTTGTGTTTTCTAATGTGATATTGGATTAGGATTTAATTTACATTAGGAAGAACAAAATTTGCACTTGTCTCGAAGATATAGGGGCACTTTAAAAAAAAAAGTCTTCTAATTGGACCCTGGTAAGGTTAGAGCCTTGAGATTTAATTCTTCTTTGACACCTTTACAGGGGAGCATGAGTTTCCCTGATATTAAAATATCACAACTTCTGTAGATCTGAGTGGTTTGGGCTTTAATGACAGAAAACACTCTCTTTAAATACCAGATCAGAGATAATAATTACCTCCCTGTGTGAGGCTTAGTTAATGAAAGTTTATAAAGGGCGTTGGGAGAGCTCCTTGAATGAGACTGAGAGGCGATACATTTAAAAACTTTACAACTTTTTCTTTAATCATTGTCCTCATTCCTCTTCTGCAGAGCCCAAAGACAACGCGCCTAGTTCTGACCTCTCAGCCTGTGAAAACTGGGGGCAAATGGACTGCTTGGAGAATGGGAAGTTTTGTACTCGAACCTGCTCTCAGCAGCATAAAGACCAGTAAGAAACCTCACATCATTTTTCCGTTTAATGAGAATTTAGCATCGGTGGAAGGTGTTGCAGTGACAGCAATAAATCAACAGAGCGGGTATCAGCACAGCACGGGCAGCAGCAGTGCAAAGCCTACTGATCAGCCTAGTCCTGTCCTGAAGGTACCATCTATAAAGAAGAGAAGAGAGTTCGCTCTCCGGGACTTCAGCAAAGAGGTCAATTAGTGCCAACTGCTCAAGTCTGGCTGCATTGCCACTGTGTGTGCTGCACCTGGTCAGGAGATAAATGCAGGATTTAAGCCTCCCGGCCTGTCAATCTGACATTTCCCATGAAGAAGGATGGTCTGTTGGTTAGGGCATTAGGCTGGGACTTGGGAGACCCAGGTCATCTCCCTGCTATGCCACAGATCTCCTATGTGACCTCGAGCAAGTCATTTAGTCTTTCTATGCCTCAGTGGTCCAGCTGTAAGACCGAGCTAACAGCACTTTCCTATGTTACCGAGGTATCGTGAGGGTAAATACATTACAGATTGTGAGGCGCTCAGATACTGGGGTAACAAGGCCATATAAGTAGAATTGGCAGAATTTGATTTTTGTAATTTCAACAGGTTTATTTTTAAGCATTTTCTTAGATTTTTTTTATCTATTTAAATTTTCACAGTTCCGCAAAATTATAGAGGGGTGTCGGATAATAATTTTATGACAGTAGATGCTGAGATTCAAAAAGTTAAAGCTTTGTAACTGTTAAAACACAGTCAACATCACATATCAAAATAAATATAGTAAATATCCTTCAAGCAAACACTAATAAGGTTTCAGACAGCATTTTTCTTACTTTGCCTATCTGTAAATTTAGATTATTATCGATGAAAAATCTTTTAGTTGATTTATATGTGTACAGTGAAATCACTGTTTGCACACATGTACTGATAAAAATCTAATCTTTCCACACCTATATAAGTATCTAAGATCAATAGAAAATCTGGCTCTTCCCACAAATATTAAATTCACTTCTTATTTGCCAGCCAAGCCCTACACACAGCCAGCCATACACTGGTTATAGAACGGGTTTTTTATTTTAAATTGTGGCTGTTTGCAGTGACTCTAAAGACATCCAAGCTGATTGCAGAAACAGAATAAGCAGCAGAAACCTTAACGTCAGCATTGGCTGCCAGGTTAATGAGGCTGACAGACCCCTCAAGCGACTCCGAAGGAAGAGGAAACTTCTTCTGGATTCTGAGGATGAGGACGAAAATATAGATGATGATGAGGTAAACGAGATTGATGTGCACTTTTGTTTGAATGGAATTGTAACAAGGTTCCTTGTCAATATACAAAGAAAATCAAATCAAAGGGTGTATTCTATGTACACCGGTGGGCTCCGTGAATCTTTCAGACTTGAGTCTGATCTCATTACGCTGGTGTAAATCGGGAATATCTCCACTGAAATCAGGGGAGTTATATTAGTGAAAAACTGACAAGAGGTCGCAATTGAGTTTTTAGACTATAATTTGTCCACACCTACAGTGCCAGAGGGGTACAGAGTTCTTTACAGTAGTAAAAATAAATACATGGCGAGGTCCCTGTACCTAAGAATACAATCTAAAGCCACATTACAGAAAACTATACTATCAGCATTTGAAACAGACAGTGGAACTTCAGGTCAGTGTTACACGTGCATTAGATGTGCTATCTGCAAACCTTTCTGTACATTAAAATATCTAGAGACTAATAGTGGGAAAACAAAAATATCCCAGCAGTGTTGAAAAAACTGTAGTGTGCCTGAAGTCACAGGTGAAATAAATCGCTGATATTTTTTGTCTGAGAAAATTGCATCTCTTTACCACCAAATCCCTCAGTCTTTTCAAACTTAGGAGTTGCACTGCATGGTTTTCTTCTTGTCCTTCAAAACACTGCAAAACAGTTTCTGCGGCATGACTTGTCCGTTACGAAGGCACTTTCACCAAAGCATGGGAAGGTCGATACCCCCATCCTCTGAGTGCTTGTGACCTCTGCTTGCTGGTCAAGTATATACTCCTGTATCTTGTTGATCAAGGGAAAGAAGCCGTTCACATGATCTGTCTGGGGATTGGTCCTGCTTTGAGCAGGGGGTTGGACTAGATGACCTCCTGAGGTCCCTTCCAACCCTGAGATTCTATGATTCTATGATTCTGTGATTAGGGTTCATAAAACTAGAACTCCTCTGTTTGAAAGGTCCATACTCTGCTATTTGATATGCAGGCTGCCATGTCCGAGTGTTTTTATTTGTATTCATGTGTTTTGCTTGTTCTGTAACACTGAGCTCAGCTGGAGCAGTTACTGGTGACACAGGCTGAAGTTTCTAATGTTGCGTACAGTTTAACTTATCCCATAGTTCAGCTGTTATCTGAGGGATTGTACGCAAAACGTCAGAACTACTTTCCTTCTTCCATCTCTCCCTTCCTCTTCCCCTGCCCCCATTTAAAAAAAAAACGTTTAAAGGGCGTGGGGCATATTTTGGCTCTGATTTTCAATTTCTGCCTTTCTTGCTTTGCTTCAAGAAGTGACAACCCTGGCTGAACTAACATGATGTTAGTATTTCTTCTTTGTAGTTTACAAGTTATCGGACATAATCTGTGACGTTTAAAGACAAAATACAGTTTCTTGAGGTGTCTTTGTGACAGCAGTTACTCGGAACCTCTATTTCCTTCAGTGGCTGGTGAAATATCCTTTCTGTGTATCCACGCACTAGCATAGATGGACACACATTTGTGTGAATATAACGTGTTGCTTATTGCTGCAAATCCTGCAGTGCAGACAATGAATCCAATCCACTACAATAGAGAGTTCAGTCTTTATTATACCATGCGACTTACTTAAATGATCTTTGGTGGAAACAATTTGTAAAGCACTTTGCGATTCTTTAGGGTAAATGTAGCTGTATATGTAAGATCCTGCTATTACTGTAATGCACTCACAGGTTTGATTTAAGAAGAATATTTCTGTTAGTAACATGTTACATCTTTATCATACCTACGTTGTGAAATGACCACTCGGGGGGAGACAACAATATGGCTAAACTTTTTTTTTTTTTTAAATTCATGTCTGTGTCTAGGAGAAGAATAAATCAAATAATATGAAAAGCCGCAGAAATACTAAACCTCTAAAACAAGGTGAGCTGAGCTCATGGTTTCTTTTCTTATTGTTTGCAAACTTTACCAGCTGTTACAAAATGGATCATAGTGAACAGAAAAAACAAGGTCAGCGGAGGGTGTCATGAGGAGAGAGAAAACTTGTTCACCTTAGCCTCTAAGGATAGAACAAGAAGCAATGGGTTTAAACTGCAGCAAGGGAGGTCTAGGTTGGACATTAGGAAAAAGTTCCTAACTGTCAGGGTGGTTAAACACTGAAATAAACTGCCTAGGGAGGTTGTGGAATCTCCATCTCTGGAGATATTTAAGAGTAGGTAGATAAATGTCTATCAGGGATGGTCTAGACAGTATTTGGTCCTGCCATGCAGGCAGGGGACTGGACTCGATGACCTCTCGAGGTCCCTTCCAGTCTTAGAATCTATGAATCTATGGAGCTCATTCCGCGTTCAGAGTAATAGTTACCTTTGTTAGGCACCTATTCCATGTCTCGTACATCAGCCTTCTGCAGTGTATCGGATGGAATAGGACAGGGTCTTGCCTCCGTGTTTGGCACAATATAAGAACCTAGAAAGAGTGGGCCTGATCCAAAGCCCATTGAAGTCAGTAGGAGTCTTTTCCCATTGATTTCAATGAGCTTTAGATCACATCTGTACGCAGCAAATTCTGAATAGAAGATGTAATGTAAATAAAGAGGGAATTGTTTACAGACTTTGAAGGTAATGGGTTTGAGATTTATTACACACTTGAAGGGAGATAATTTGGGGTAATTTTTAATATCCATTTAAAATGTAACTTTTTCTTCTTTGTTAGTGTGGTTCTACTAGCCTGAATCCAGACACCTGCTTTGGGATCGTATTCACTATCCATGTACTAATATATTTGCTAAACAGAAGTTTGTTTGGTTTTTCATTTGGTTCATTTTGAGTTTGTTTTCAGCTGCTGTTGTGTACCTTTCCTGTGCTAATGTTAGTTTGAGCCCCACCCTTATTCATGCTCCGAGATATTGGATGGAGAAATTCCTTTCCTCCTTTTGAAGTTCCCGTTCTAGGGTTGTCCCAACTTTGCAGCACCAACACTCCAGTGGCAACTTGCCAACTGCCTGTGTGCCACAACTAATTGGCATATAATTTAACATAATTTTTTCTAATGAAAAATAGATACAGTCAAACTATTGCCTGGGGTTGTATTTTCCTCAAGATGGGTAGCTTCTTAGTGTAGCTCACCAGCAATTGAAAGTGTTGGGGGGGAGGGATAGCTCAGTGGTTTGAGCATTGGCCTGCTAAACTCATGGTTTTGAGTTCAATCTGTGAGGGGGCCATTTAGGGAACTGGGGTAAAAATCTGTCTGGGGATTAGTCCTGCTTTGAGCAGGGGGTTGGACTAGATGACCTCCTGAGGTCCTTTCCAACCCTGTGATTCTATGATGGGGATAGCAGTCACCAGATGTGTTTGGCCCCCTGACCGAGCTTTGAGCTCCTCCAAGGCTCTTGTTACCTGCTCTTTAAGCATCAAGGAGGGCTGGGCTGGCATCTGGATCTGCTCCAGATGGTGGTAGTGGCCGTTTAGTGAGTGGGAAGGAAAGGGAGAAGACGGCTGCTCTCCATTCAGCATTCTGTCCTCCATGAGATAAGTGTTATCTCTTTCTGTTTTTGATTATTCAGTTGTTCCTGGAAAGAAGACGGTGTGGAACTGGGTTTCTTACTTGGAAGAGGAACAGATGCCAGCTGCTCCCCTAAAACTGTTCAAAGAGGTTGGCAGCCCCTTGGATGCTTTTTCTGCTTTGATAATTCCTCATGCAGCATCACTGAATTATTAACCCCTTGGTGCCAGAATAGGAGACTTCCCTGACACCACTAGTTGCAAGTAGTGCTTGGGTTGCTATAAGCAAGTAGCATAAAAATGTTGACTTCCAGCACCATAAGTGGTGTAAAAAAAAAAAAAAAACCCGACTATGCATCTTCTACGGAGGCTGTGTGTTCTGGTGGTTAGAGGGAGGGGACTTGTCAGGACTCCTGTGTTCTATTTCCAGCTGTAATGCTGACATTGCTGCATTGCAATAATAATATTTTGCACTTAAAGCACTCTTCATTTGTAGATCTCACAGACCTTTGCAAAAGGGAGCAAGCATTGTTATCCCCACTTTCACTTTACAAATGGGAAAACTGAGATACAGAGAGGTGTTAAGTGGCTTTCCCAAGGACACGCAGCGCGTCAAGAATAGAACCCCACAGCTGCAGATTGAACAAGTCATGCAACCTCCCTGCCTCAGTTTCCCTACCTGTAAAATGAATAAAGCTGGTCAGCAGTTTTTTGACTCAACATTTTTTAATTGAAAAATGCCAGTGAATCACAACAAACTTTTTGTGGAAAGAACTGATTTCAACAAATTTACCGTTCAAAAACATTTGGAGGGATAAAAAGTTTTGAAGTTGAAGCATTTCATTTTGACACTTAACAAATACAAAATTGCAGATTTTTGGTTCAGACAGACATATTTTAAAAGTTAGTTAATTCAATTTGAGTAAGTAAATAAATAAATAAAAAGCAGTCAAAATCAGAACGAAATGTTTTGCTTGACCTGAACAAAAAATACTTTTGGATTTTTGGTTTGTGAAAATTTTTGAGAATTTTGACTTTTTGTCCCAATTCAGGACAGGGAAAATTTTTGAAATCTCAAAAAATTTTGTGGGACAAGAAAATTGTTTCCCATACTAAAAACAAATATAATAATGTACCTTCCCTCATGGAAGGGGTGTGCAGCTCAATTAGTTAATGCTTGTAAAACAATTTTTGATTCTCTGAAAAGTAGTATAAAGGGGCAAAATATTACGACTGAAGTTAATTCAGGGGAGGAAGAGTTAATTCTCTAGATTTCCGATATGATTGGCTAATATTTGATTTGTTTTAAATCTCTTATTTTTCTTTTAAGGCAACAGTGGGATCAGGTGACATTTACACACCCTTTATAGTCCTTGCACTTAATCTTGGCCACAAATAATGTTCTAGTCTGCTTCAACTAGTTATGAGTAAATCAGCTATGAGCAGATCACTCGCATTGCAGAGGGGCAGTTTAGTATCTTTTTATATGTCCTGCCAATGACTGGTGGTTGTGTGATGCTGATTTTAGCCTTACTAATTAAAACACTGTTAAAATGAATTGGATCCTTGAATCTTGGACTGTTATAGATTATCTTATTAAGAGGCAATCATTACAAGTGAGGGTAGAAGTAGCGTCCACTTGCTGTGTCTAAATAAGAGTACAGCGAACTTGGATATGGTGAAACTTTATCTATAGGCCCTGACCCCACAGGGTGCTGAGCTCCCACAAATCCCACCGACTTTGTTGGCAGTAGAGGGTATTCAGCAACTTGTAGGACTGAGACCACCATAAAGTGAAAGGAAAATATTTTAAGGTTTCACTGTATTGCAGTAAGCTGTTTGCAGTTCCAGTTATAGAGAACTTATTCTTTAGGCTTATCTATAATTGAAAGTTAATTCGGATTGAGGTTGGATGTGAATTTAGAGTGCAAAAACTATTCCCGAATAACTGCATGTGCGGACACTTTTTTTTCAAAGTGGATTAAGCTAAACCAGAATAAGGCACTCTTATTCCAGAATAGGAACATCCACACATGGAGTTATTCCAGAGCACATATTCCTGAATAACTCCATGTGTAGACAAGCCCTAAAGAATGAATGTGCTCTGTTCAGGGCCGGCTCCAGGGATCAGCTAAGGAAGCAGGTGCTTGGGGCAGCCAATACAAAGGGGTGGCACTCCGTCTGCTATTGGGGCGGCAGGCACGTCCGGGTCTGCGGTGGGAATTCAGCAGTCCCTCAGTACCTCTCTTCCTCTTTGAACTGCCGCTGAAGTGCCGCTGAAGAGGAAGAGAGGGAGTGAAGGACCCGCTGCCGAACTGCCCCCGAAGAATGGAGCAGCGCGATTGAGCTGCCGCCGATCGGCTTTTTTTTTTTCCCCCACCGCTTGGGGCAACAGAAAACCTGGAGCCAGTCCTGGCTTTGTTGGGATAATGACTGTAGTACGGACCCAATCCTGAAACAGCCAAAAGTCCCCAATGGTTTTGCCTGTGGCAGGCCTTCCTGATTGGGCCCTATAAAAGGGGTCCTTTGTGTACAAATTAAACTTGCCTTGGAACATTTTAAAAGATTTGCTGGTACCTGTAGTTAATTAAAACAGACTTCCAAGTTTGTTCTTAAAAAAATCTGATACTTTGACAGTGAGTGTTTAGAATGTCATCTGCAGATATATTAGGGACACATGATGATGCTATTTTTGATCCATATAACTGTGCTTGACCATTGGACATCACTTCTCATTTTAAAAGGGATCCAGAACAGGAAACAACTGAGGGCACCTGCATCCAGTCATGGGAAACCATTCAAAATTATGCAAGGTTAACACTGAAGTGATTTCTAGTGATGATAGTTTTTGCTAAACTAGAAAACCAGAAGTCTTTAGTGTTTCTGGTGACTATTCTGAAATAGGTTGTCTCTCTAAAAGTGAAATACAATTTTTTTCCCCTCCAACGTTAATTTCCCCACAGTATCAATCCTTCCCACAAACTAGGAATGGATTTAAAGTTGGAATGAAGTTAGAGGGACTGGATCCTGGACACCCATCTTTATTTTGTGTCCTCACCATTGCTGAGGTAATTGTTTTTCCTGGATTTGATTTCTTTTTCATTAGAAAACAACATCAGAAGTCTAAGGAGGACTTGTTAAAGAAATAATCTTTTAGATTGTTTTTAAAAAAAAAAATAAGTGAAGTAATGTAAGGGTTGGGAGAAGTTTGAGCTGAAAGCTAAAGGAACGTAGTTGAGGATTTAAATTTGGGATCATATCCTTCAGCTGTTACGTAAATAATTCTAACTCAAGTGCGTACCTGTAAGGGGCACACCCTCACCTTAATAGAGGGGAAGCGAATGAGCTTCTCTGGACTCAGCCAGCACTAACCGGTCTGTAGACCTGGTTTGACAAGAGTAATTGAACATGGGTGAGGCCTCATTTTGTGGGAAACAGGTTCAGGGAGGTAAATGGATCAGCAGGCTGGAAACAGAATGTCTATACTAGCTCAAATTAGGGGGAACAACCAGGGAACCATTTACAATGGACACAATAACAATGGATAAAATAAGCCAACGCAGACACACCTACAAGGTTTGCTCTGCCTGGCAGGGGTGGAAGCTGAAAAGGGGAAATCCTGCCACAGCAAGGGGTGGCAGTTAGGCTATGCCTCAGAGAGGACTGACTACAGGAATAGATCAGTGAAGAGGAAGATAGTCGGGGACCCTGCCGCTCCTGAAACTGTATAGACCAGGTGCTGAGTAGGGTTACTGAATCATAGAATATCAGGGTTGGAAGGGACCTCATCTAGTCCAACCCCCTGCTCAAAGCAGGACCAATCCCCTGACAGATTTTTGTCCCAGATCCCTAAATGGCCTTCCTCAAGGATTGAACTCACAACCCCTGGGTTTAGCAGGCCAATGCTCAAACCACTGAGCTATCCCTCCCTGAGGGCCTAAAGATGGCCCCTAGCCCTGATCAAGAATGCTAAAGCCAGCAGATAAGCAGACCCACAAAAGGGTGATGGAGAAACTGCCTAAGAGATTGAATTACTTTTTTTTTTTTTAACTTTAATTCTCCTGGTCCCCAGGCAGGGAGAGGGAAAGGCTCCTTTTCCTTTATTTGTTTGAAGGAACTCTTGTATACCACAAGCAGGGGGAGAACTCTGTGAGAGCCAGAGAAGAGATGTAGCCCCAGACTGTGGTCCAAGAGGGCTTCCCCCACCACAGTTCCCCAGTCAAGCCCAGTGGATTGAAATGGGCAAGGATTTCAAAACCAGGCCTTAAGGCTTCGTAAAACCTATACGAATAGAATTGTTTTCATAGTGTCTTTTTAAATCATTGAAAAACTGGGTTGGGTTGGGTTGGACCCTCTGCAGTTCCCTGCAGTATGTGCAACCCAAAACATTGCAATGTAGGGCTACAATATGAGAACAAGAAAATGAAACTGACAAGTCTTATTTTACATTTTCCAAACTGCGGGCAAGTCTACGCTACAGCACTACATCGGCGCAGCAGCTGTGCCATTGTAGCATGTCTGGTGAAGACACACTATGCCGACGGGAGAGCGCTCTGCTGTCGGCATAATTACTCCACTTTGACAAGAAGTGGAAGCTATGTCGGCGGGAGAGTGTCTCGCACTGACACAGCGCAGGTGTGGACAGTGTGAAACTTAAGTCGCTTCACGGGGGTGAGGCTTCTTCACACCTCTGAGTGACGTACGTTAGATTGACTTAAATGGTAGCGTAGACCAGCCCTGAGTGTGATGGGAAAAATAAGCAAACAGCATAAATGGAAAAAGTTAAAACTGAATTTTCTAAAGGAAATTCGTTTTTTAAAGGTCCTTTCAGTTTTACAAACCCAAAGGGAAGAGAGTTATTGGCTTTTAAAAATAGTATTTTTATGTCGCTTGTCAATGTCCATTTAAGATAATACAATCTCTTGTGCTTGTAGGTGCAGGGATACAGGATGCGGTTACATTTTGATGGTTATTCTGAGTACTATGACTTCTGGGTTAATGCTGACTCTCCAGATATCCACCCTGTTGGCTGGTGTGAAAAGACAGGTCACAAGCTGCTCTCTCCGAAAGGTACGTGGAGAAATAAACCTGTACAAGAAGCAACACATTTTGCTGTGAACTGGCTGCCCTTAGTGTCCATGTTTTGTTTCATGTCAAACCCACTTTGAATGATTTGAAGTGTGAAGATAATTGCCAGAAGAGCAAACCAATTTCTTACTGATATTCCCAGTATTTGGCATTGTTAGTCAAAGTAATTAGTAACTCTTTATTAAGTGAGCATGAAAATCAATGAATATCTTTGTTCACAACTTACGCTTTCTTTCTTGCGTTCCATTTCCTAGAAACATTTGCAGTTTCAGATTAATGATTAGACAGTGCAGTAAAAGAGGGAGTAATGTGTTAACTGAAAGGCCTAACCCTTGAAGCTTGTACAAGGGCAGGTATCATGCAAAGTTCAAATCCTTCTCTAGGTTATTTCCATTTTTGAAAAACCAATCTGAATACAGCAGGAACAATGTAAAACAATCTCTGATCTCTTTTTCTAGGTTACAAGGAAGGGGAATTTAATTGGGTTTTGTATTTGAAGAACTGCAAAGCTCAAGCAGCCCCGAAAAACCTTTTCAAGACCCTCAGCACAGTAAGTGGTGGCATCGGGTATAATGTCTTTTAAAATACGACTGATATTAAGTAAGCACTGCCTAAAACGTTGGCCAGAATATAAACGTGTCCTTTTTATATGCTCAGGACAGAAGCTGTAACACTAAAGAACTTGGTGGAGTCATATGGGAGCAGTTTCTCACAGCAATTTATTTGTAGGATGAGAAACCAGAGTAATTTTCTTACTTCTCCACCCCAAGCCCCCCCAACGTTCACTAACTTCCCAGTCAGAGACTGTATATTTGCCCTCCTCCGCCTTGATCTCTTTTCTGTTGATTTACATTAGCATTAGTTAAATACATTGTAACACTCTGGTTTTGCTTGCGGCCTCAGCTTCTAGATGTTTGTGATACTTCCCTGGACTCTAAGAATCTCACAAGTCCTGTTTATCCAGCACCATACACAAAGGTGTTCAGCCCTGTACATATCTCTGTTTGTAGTGTCCTTATAGCTGTGTTGATCCCAGGATATTAGAAAGACCAGGTGGGTGAGGTAATATCTTTTATTGGACCAACTTCTGTTGGTGAAAGAGACGAGCTTTCAAGCTTATCTAGATCTCTGTTGTTTTTCTGTCTTCACCACCACTGTTTTTTTCCCCCTCCTGAATTAGTCAAGTGGTCTCCTGGTTTCTTTGCTCAGCACCATTTCCCATTCAGCCTAATCAAAGTATTCTTACCCTGATATTGCAAAAGGGTGGAGGATTTGCCGTAGAGGGATCGGGGCCTTAGCATGTAATTCTGTCTCTGCTTTTTGGACTGACCCACCTGTATACCCTGGAGACTCTCACAAGCCACATCTGACTTCTCCTCCTCCATTAATATGGTAGGGCTAGCAGTGCTAGTATCCATCCTCAGTCAGTACTCCTCATCAGAAGGGCCCTCTGTACCGCTGTCTCTGAACTGCCTGGCTCTGGTGTAATTGAACATAAGCATTATTCAGATTGCACCAAGCTATTGTTAGAAATCATAGGCATTGTTGCCAGAACACATGGAAATCTGGGCTTTGACCCTCCTGACAGATGTTCTGGCAAGCAAGTAGTTACAGTATGATATTGTTTTCTACTACTACAGTATTTTGTTTAAATAACCTGAACCAAATAGGTTTGGAACAGTAATTTCAATGACCTGGCATAGAGCTTGACAGACCTTTTCCCTCTATGCTATTCCTTAGCCTGTCACACCATCTGGTTTTCGGGTGGGAATGAAACTAGAGGCAGTGGACAAAAAGAATCCATCTTTGATGTGCGTGGCAACCATCGCTGATATGTTGGATAACCGGCTGCTAATTCATTTTGACAACTGGGACGAGAGTTATGACTATTGGTAAAGAAAACTGTTTTCAAACTGTATCCGCAAATACTGTGGTATTTTTCCCCTTGTAACATTTTGCCATAAAGTTGATGATCTCTAATACTTAGCTGCTAAGATTGTTAAGTGTGAGTGCATTGGGGCTCCTGAATCCATTTTCAGGCTTCTAAATAAGTGGCCTTGTCACAGTTTTGAGGTAACTGCACCTGTATTTTTCTCTTCATGGTCCTTCAAGAGCCATCCTCTTAAAGGTTTCTGGCTTCCAGCTGTCACCTCTCTTGGGTGGAGACCCATGTCTCACTGCCTTCTGTGAATATATTGAAGTCAATGGAAGTCTTTCCCTTCAATTCAATGGATTTAGAACAGGAACTTACTCATTTTTTGAAAATTATGTCCTGTTCTTCTATTGCACTTTTCATCTGAGAATCTCAGGGTGCTTTTTTTTTTAGATGGTGAATACTTAATTTTAATAATTTAAGACCGAAAACATCATATTGCCTCTATATAAATCCATGGGACATCCACATCTTGAATACTGCTTGCAGATGTGGTCACCCCATCTTAAAAAAAAGATATTGGAATTCGAAAAGATTCAGAAAAGGGCAACAAAAATTATTAGGGGTATGGAACGACTTCCGTATGAGGAGAGATTAAAAAGACTGGAACTTTTTGGCTTGGAAAAGAGACGAGTAAGGGGGGATATGATTGAGGTCTATAAAATCATGACTGGTGTGGAGTAAGTAAATAAGGAAGTGACATTTACTCCTTCTTATAACACAAGAACCAGGGGTCACCAAATGAAATTAATAGGGAGCAGGTTTAAAACAAAGGGAAGTATTTTTTCCACACAATGCACAGTTAACCTGTGGAATTCCTTGTCAGAGGATGTTGTGAAGGCCAAGACTATAACAGGGTTCAAAAAAGAACTAGATAAATTCATGGAGGGTAGGTCCATCAATGGCTATTAGCCAAGATGGGCAGGGAAGGTGTCCCTAGCCTCTGTTTGCCAGAAGCTGGGAATGGGCAACAAGGAATGGCTCACTTGATGATTCCCTGTTCTGTTCATTCCACCTGGCATTGGCCACTGTCGGAAGACAGGATACTGGATCTTTGATCTGACCCAGTCTGGGCATTTTGATGTTCTGATGTTCTTATGTTCATGCCGCATTCCATGTGAGGGTCTCCTGAGTCCTGGTCCCAGCTAACCAAGAGACCATATTGAATATCTGTAAAGGAAACACCTTTCCTCTCCATTTCATGTATCCCAGTCTACACTATAGAAGTGTGTCCAGTCTTTAGTTTAATTTCTAAAAAACCTTAGCTGTTGATCTGTGAAAGCAATACAAAGCATTTAGATTTGCGCCCATCAGCTCTGTGTGTGGTGGTGGTTTCTTTATTATTACACTCTTTCCCCAGTTGTTTCTTACTCCAGGAAGGCAAACTTAAATACAAACAAAAAAACCTTCAAAGCAAAATTTGGCTAAAGCTGCATTGGTTTGCCTGGTTTGGCATGAAATCATCAGTCCCTTCCCCAGAACCCATGGGAAGGAAGGGGCTTTCTCAGAACTTGGGCCATGTTCTCTCAGGAGTTCAAGTACTTGGACCAAGTTTTGGATTTGTAACAAAATCCGAAACCAGGCAAGTTCCACTTGGCTTCAGGTTCAATGAATGAAATACGTACACAGTTCTAAGCTCAAGTCTTCAAATCATCCCCCTCCCCCGCCATAGCTTTTATTTCTTGCATAGGCTTTTTATGGTATGCGTTTTGACATTTTTTTGTTTGCTTGTTTTGTGTGTTAGTTTTGAAAATCCGTGCCCAGACTAATTCAGTGGGCTCGGTGTTCAAAGAACAGCGCTTAGAAAATATGCGTTAGCTACACAAACACATACTTTGGCTCTTTAGTATTCACCTGTCTTGCTGGGGCAACTTGAATGTCAGTTCTTAAAAATGTAGCTTTTGTGAATTCCAACCAGGAAGCACTTGTGCTGTACATCATGATCACACACGCTAAAAGCATCTGCTGCCCCAGCAAAGAAACATCAGATGGGATTTGATCTGCTGTGTTTCTTCTCACATTAAAGTTGACTGGAGCCAATTCTTTCCTTTTGATCCAGGTGCGATGCTAGCAGCCCGTATATTCGTCCTGTTGGTTACTGCCAAGAAACTGGCACCCCACTGACAACACCACCTGGTATGTTAAAAGAAGGATTGTATTTCTTCTTCAGTCAGAAGACCTGCTAGCGCTATCTCCTGCATAATTATAAATTTGCAAGTTACGAGTTCTATTCAATACCCTTCTTTTATTGCCCGAACAGGGTTGTTATTATTAATGCACACTGAAGTGCAACTATATTTGATTTCGATAGCTCTTTCAAGCCACTGAGATAGGGCTTGGTCATTTGGAATTGAATTGAATTTTTGGGGGGGAGGCCTTTGGAGGTAGATGCAGTATTTCCTTGAAGGCAAGTTGGAAAAAAGAGGATCAGTCTCATGCCAACGAAGATGGGGGTATGGAATTCCTGGAAAAAGAGGAGGAAAGATTGGAGTCCTTTATGTTTCTTCTGAATTGAAATTGAGATATTAGCAAATGGAAAGGATAAAATCTGCAGGAAAATCGTGTTGTTTTCAGGCTTTAGCAGGTTGTTTTGTTTTTGTTTTCTTAAAAAAAATCATGTCCACTTGGTGCTGGATTGACAGCCTTGTAGCAGGAAGTTCTTTATTTGCTTACTAGGTTTAGCAGCATCGGTGGGAGTGGGAGCTTCCTTCACAATGGAAAGCTAATCTCTGTTCAGTTCTTGACTTCTCTGGGAGTCCTCAATTTGCCAGTTGTGTAGTTTTGTGATGTGCACGGCTGTCCAATGGGAACAACACCAAGACTCACAACTTCAGGCTACTAAGATGGTGATAAATAGCAGGGATAGAAAAAAAGACGTGAACAGTTTTTTAAAATGTAGTTTGCAGTGTGCTGCTAAGGAGAGCATATCCCACTGCTGTTGAAATACAGGAAATGAGTTTACCCTAATCTCAGGAAGTTAACGGGAGAGATGGAGCCTTTCCCCTCCAGGCTCCTAATTTGCATCCAGCCTATGGATAAGTAGGAAGTGATGGAAAGTCTCTACCATCTGACAGCTGTTCAGAAGCCTGCAATATAGGAAATTAATTTGGTGATCTCCGTTCATATCACAAAACCCCATGACTGGCTCTATTTGGCAACTTACTCAAGAGACCAAGAATTGATGGAGCAATAAAGAAATGAACTACCCTCGTTTCTTTAAATGTGGGTTGAGGCTCATGGTCTGTGTGCTGGAAGTTTGCACTGCTCCTGCCTGTACTGTACATTTTCTGTGTGAATAAAGAGGTGGCTTAATTCTGCAAGGATGTCAATCTGCCATCTTTTGTGAGAGCTCAGTTCACAGAATAGCCACGTATTCCATAGCTGTGCTCCTGTGGTGGTGGTGGTGGTGGTGGTTTTGTAGTTGATTGGGGTTTTTTATAATTTAACCCTTAAGATAGTCCTTCATCTTTTCCAGAATACAAGGATTCCAAAAGCTTCTCATGGGAGAAATATTTGGAAGAAACCAGTTCCCAGGCAGCCCCAGCAAGAGCATTTAAACTGGTTGGTGAAGTTCTTTTATCTCACTGGGTCAGCATATTACTATAGATTGTGCCAGTCTCAGTCCCATCCCTGTCAGGCAGGCTTCAGAGTGGGGCGTTCCCCATCTCCACAACACTGAGGCACCCGGATCTTTGCTCTGAGCCTAGGTTTAACATGGCCCCTCAGGAGGACTCTCCGGAATCCTGTCTTCAAGCCCCAGACTCCAGGGCTCCCTTTGGAGAGGAGCTTTTGCGCAATTGGTAAAAGATTTTTAACTGAATGTCTCTGTTTCTTCATTGGCTTTGAAGTTTTTCTCCTCAAAACGGCTAAACTAAAAAAAAAATACTTTTGGCTTTGTGAGGAGGGTTTGAAGAGCCGTACCTCCCCTAACCCATAGAAATAGCAGATACAGACAGCAATCTCCTGGCACACTCAAGCGAGATACCCCAGACTTTCAGCTAGCTTTTCAGAATTAAGATTGAATAGAGGACTAACTTCACAGGTGCTTGTGTTAGAAAATGAAACAGCAAATAAATAAATAAATAAATAAAAGCCTTAGAAAAACTGGCAGAGTTGACCAGGAGCTGTGTAATTCTTCCTCACCTGGTTTAAGAGGGTCTGATGAAGGTGGAGTGGGAATTCACTTTCAAGACTTACTTGTACCTAACGATTAAAAGGGTCTTCATTACTCTGCCTAAAGTTAAGCCTGCTGCAGCCTCCTTATTAATGGGCATAATCATAGCAGCTGAGGGAGTATTTCTGCCAAACACACGGACAAGAGAATAAGATCATCACTCAGACTAAACTTGGATACAGCAGCCTCAGCGCTGAGGTTATTGGCTGAAGTTTTTTATCATGGAGGTCTGTGCGCAACTGGGGAGTCATTGTGAGTGGGCAAAAAAGTCCCGGAAAAACCACTGAATAAAATATACTTAAAACTAGATTTCCCTAGTGGCTTTTTTGGCATTGGTACTTCAGCTGGTTACATTTGTAGTACATTCAAAACTTCCGGAGATGTGTCCCACAGGTAACTGTGGCTTCACTTGAAATATTTTATTGGTAAACTCTTTGGGGAGTGTGGAGACAAAGTAGCCCCTGCGGCTTTAGACAAGAGAATAAATCCCTCCCTCTTTCCAGTGAGAGAAACTTCAAACTATCTTATCCCAACAAGTGTTCCCTTTGAAGTCACTGCTCCTTCAGGTCCTAGCATAGAGATTACACATGAGGAAGAGGCCATTGCTGTTGGAAGACCACGTTTGGGATTCCAAACCATCCAGTCCCAAAAACTTCTCTTGGTTTTGGGTTTCTCAAGTCTGAACCACTCCCCCCTTTTATGAGGCTTGCTTCAAGATGGGCTCTCAGAAAATGGATACTTGAGGCAATCAGGGAAGGATGCTCTATAGAAGTCACTTGTTATCCCAGGGACAAGTTCATGCTTTCCACAGAGTTTATTAAAATAAAACACTATCTAAAGACCCTTCACAGCATCAGAAGACTAACGGTGCAATAGTCCATCTCCTCCATGTTGGAAATATAGAACGAGTTCCATGGAGAGACAGATATTTTGGAAAGAGGGCAAGATTCTTTATGATTCAAAGAGAAACAATGGCCTGCAGCCTCTTTTACATCTCAGTTCTCTCAACAAGTCCATAAGGAGATCAATATTCCAGGTAGAAATACTGAAATCCATCATTACGTCATTGTCAACCCAAAGTATTAGAAATATGAAAATAATCCTCCTGGAGATACAATCGGGGCGAGTCACCCAGAGATACTTTAGCTTCCTGCTGCAATAGAAGCATCTCAGTGTAGAGTTGTGACTTCTACACAGGAAGGCACAAATGCCAATGTCATCCCTCCCTTCAAGTGAAAGGAATATGTGTCTACCCTTGTCCAATGACCTTCTCGTCATGTTCTGCAGGGTCCAGCAGCCATTGCCAAAACTCTTCAGCAGCATGGCTTTGAGCAAACAAATGGAAGGGCCAATTACAGCCCTCATAAAACTCTAGCATATAAGTTATTGTCCAAGGCATTCTTTATTTCAGAAGAGAGATGGAAAAAGATAGTGTCTGATTTGTCCAACGTTAGCACACATCAGCTGAGATTAAAATCTCTGATTCAACTCCTGGGCTAGTAGGGCTCGTGTGTGGAGACCTGGCACAATTCTTGCTTTGCTTCCAGCCAGCAATTGCAGCAAATGAGTATATAAAGATCTTGGTCCAGATCCAGTACTAGCATCTCTTGATGAATTCATTTTTGGGTGTGTGATTAATTCTGTATTGATTTCCATAAAGAACCAGACAATGGAAAGTACAAAAAGGTAAATGACCTGCAGCGTGTTTATGTTTCAAATACCACATGCTTTATGGGATCTCCAGTAGAATTATGCAAAGTTACAACTTGTCTGGTCTTGCAGCCTTGACAATACAAAACCAGGCAATACTACACAGACATAACATGTTAGGAGGAGAATAATGGTAAGAAAACAGGAGAAAACGTATGTGAATAGGGAGAAGGGGTGGGGGAAGGAAAAAGATGAGGAGTTAGGAAGAATGGAGGACTGGCTTTCTTCAAGCCATCTCAACATTTTTTTTATCCAAATATATCTAGAGATTTGGTCCAAATTTCTTCAAATTAATGGAATTTACCCAGAAAGCAATTCTTTATATTTAACAGCTACCTCCTGCTGGGTCCGGAGAAGCTGATCCTCAGTATAGATACCAGATCCCATGTAGCGGGACACATCTGGACTCCTATATGACTTGAGGGAGAGGGGAGTGGTCCAAGGAGGAGTCATGGAGTATAACCGGTCTCATGCTTTGGGCCATCGGACACTCCTCCATTTACAACAGATGATTCTTCAGAAATCCAGTGTATATATAACTGCTCAGAATGCAGAAAACCTTCAGCTTTGCTTAGAGAAGTAACCTTGTTCTTGTCCTGGACGGAAGCTCTTTTCCTCAGGGTTCAATGCCAAGAAGGAAAGTCAGGGTCAGTCAGCTCAGCAAGACACTCTCAGAACTGAGGGAATGCTGTCTCGATCAGCTCGCCTTGCAGTGCATCACAGGCCAGGTGGGCAGCCTGTTGAGGAACCTGTTTGCATCCAAGTTCAGTGGGAAAACCAAAAGAGGTGCTATATGAGGAAGAGAGACTCAAAAGTAGAGGCCGTGGTCCTCTTATCTCAGACGTGTGCTGAAAGACTCTCCCTTATGCCTTCCCCCTTCAGCCACTGAAAGTAAAGATGGTAAAGAAGATTGTGATTATAACCACCTTCAGGTCTTGGTTCTCAAACCTGAGTTAGACATAACTGGAACCTCCTCTCAAATGATATACATAAACACACACACTCTCTCTTCAACAGGGACTTATCCTGAATCAAAATCCAATGCTGCCTAACCCATCAACTGGGAAGGTGAGAAGATGTACTTATAGTCACTCATTCTAAGAAAGTGATAAACACCCTCCTGTCTTGGAAGAAATGCACTAATTATGTCTGTGTCACTTGAGGTTTAGATGTTGGGGTTACAACGGACACATCAGAGCAAAGTCAGCTGAAACAAAGAACACTCTTGGTTTTACAAGATGACCTTACCAGGGGGCTGAAGACTAGCACTTTTTGGAAAGATAAGTCAATGACTGCAGGCATATTGCACTGTAAGAAACCCATGATAATCTCATCACAGTCCCATAACACACGTCGGAGGACCACTACTCTTATCAGTCCTCTTGCAATGTGCAGTCCCCTGCTGTGATCTTAATCTGTGGGCTACAAGTCCTAATAAAGCCACCTCTCAACTTCATAGCTGGTAGGTCTCTTCCTTTTCTCACTGAAAGTATCTTGCCTGTTCGCTGCCTTCTGGTCCAAGGGGGTTTTGGAGCTTGCTGTCAATGAAAGCGCGGTTACACACTCTATCAAACATGGTATATCAGAGAACTAACCAGCTCCGCATCCCCAAAGTTACTAAAGTCTGCCTCGCACAATAGGAAGTGATATGTTGCTCTTCTGGTGGAATCCAAACATCCTAAGGAAGTAGAAATGCAGGTTCGATGTGAACACAATAAATATAGCAAAGGTAGTCAAAGCCTTAGGTACAACTCCTCTTGTTACTATCCAGTCTGTGAAAAGAGCAGCGGTTTTTGTGGGTGGAGAGATCACACACCTGTTCTGAGGAGGTCCGTCATTCTCAAACACTTTCTCAGATACTATAGAGTCAACATCCTCACCTCTGCTGGTGCAGTGTTTGGTAGAAGGATGTTACAGGACAGGATGCCCCTGTAGCCCTTAAGTTCCTTTTCAGTTCTACATGGATACGCTGAATTCTTCCTCCCACCATAGGGATGATTTACTGTTTTCTACATCCTACTGTGAAGGCTGTCTGATATGGAGGGGACAGAGAAAGGGAAAATTTTGTCTTACCTATGAATTTTCATTCGAGGACCCTCTGTGTCAGTCAGTCTGACCCTCCCTCAGAGGATTGTATTATGTGCAGGGTTTTTTTCTGACTGTTGTTTACTTGTTAAATAGTTTGAAAAGGAATAGGGTGTTCTTCCAGGATGTCATGTCCCAGCTCTGCTGCAAATGGTTTGAATTGAGTAGCACTTGTAAATGTTTCTTACAGGTAGTACTTTTCAGCTTTGGAAATTGTTCTAAGCCCAGGGTCAGAGCAGTGATCTGCCCTGCATCCAGTTGCCATGGAGAGAGGATGTGACTTTGTGTAGTATCCAAAGGGTTAACTAGAAATTGCTGCATCCTGAAGCCAAGGAGGCTACATTACCAGGAAATCTTCAAAACGTTCAGTGATTTTCTTGCTGGTAAAATGTGCCAGATTGACAGCCTGGGATACTTGCTCTCTCTGCTTATCTGCAGAAAAGGAACAGCACTGGTAACAGCAAGGCCATCTTCCGCATGCAGTGTACATCAACCCTGAGACAGAGGGACTATATCTAGGATGAAATGGTAGCAGGGTCTCCATGCCCATTAAATTAATGGCCTATGCTGAGACTACCTGCAGTAGGACCGTTTGTTGCCAATTTTGACAGGGGTTTATGTGATGTGAACACATGTCCACAAATGACTGAAATGAGATCTGCCAAATCACATCACCTAAATTATGGAAGAGAGCTGTCAGATGATGGTGTCTTTCAGTCACTACCATCCTAGGCTGCATTTAACTCAGTTACATAGTAGTTAGCTGTCAAGTGTCCTTCTAAAATACCTGAGGAGGTGAATGGATCATACCCTGGACCCCAGTAGGAGTTCTGCATGCAGACATAGGGTGGTTAATAGCCCTGTGTCTTTAAATCTATGGTGTCAAGGTCATCCTGAGAATTAAAAAAAAAAAATGTAACCTTTAAGAAGGAAATAAAATCTGTCACCAGTAAGAAGTACGAAAAGTTCCTCTCTGTTGCTCAGATTGTCCCATTTGTGGTCTTTGGCTGTTGGCAAATTGCCAACGTAACCCATCAGGAAATCCTGATTTTGGTCTCAAAAGCAGTCAGTGGCTTGCAGGAGTGGGGCTCAAAGTTACAAAGGATTGTTTGTGGTATGTGGAGGAACTTACCTATTTATCCAGAGAAGATAACTAGTACTGTACAACTTGAAATGATGGCCTTTTCACAGGTCCACTTGCAATCTTCTCTTACAGCGTCCAGCCCATGGGTTCCAGGTTAACACAAAGCTAGAGGCTGTGGACAGGAGAAATCCCATGTTAATAAGAGTGGCAACAATAGCTGAGAAGGAGGACCATCGTATCAAGGTATGCCTTTCAAGGAAAGCACTGTGCCCTTCTGCCCGGGAATACGGATGGTTTGAGGTACAGAATGTGCGTAGATTGGCTCCTCCTTGTTATGACGACAAGCAGGAACACCTTACAAATAACAGATCTGGAAAGCAAAGCAGTCCAGTCTAAAAATGATGTTTTGCTTGTTTGTCCCGTGTGAGTCGTCCTGTTCCTGCTCACTATTGTCAGATACTAGTTTAATTTAACTTATTTTGGAATGACCTTTGCTGAAATGGTTTTGCCTTCCCGTGAGCAATGTCTGCATGATCTATGTGAATGAATGGAACGTTGATATACTACTGACGAGAAGTTCATCGGCAACTTCTGAGCTCTCCTTAACAGCGAACTGAAAAGGGAAACCCATAGTCAAGATGAGCCCAGGTTTATGTGGTGAGCGGCTCCATTCCCTGTCGTGTAATCGGCACATAAATGCATTTTTATTTGCCTTTTCATTTCATGTAAATATACTGCTGGTGAAAGGTGCTGGTTTGCCAGTCAGAGACCGAATGTCAATCCACAAAACAGGGGCAGTAACCATGTGAGCTCCCTCAGCAATATGCTGTGTACTGACATGGAGGGGACCACCATTCGGATGAGAGTGGAGTTCTATCCATGGCCCATTCAATTCTTGGTCTCTCTCCTGAGATCACTAATGAGAGTCAAGTTTTACCAGTTATAGTGCTGTAATTAGCATTGTGGCCACATGTTCATTGGAAACGATCAAGAACATCAACTCATATCATCTAAACCACCAAACAACCATTAGATGGAAACATCTTTTATTGGACCAGCTGCTGTTGGTGAGAGAGACAAGCTTTCGAGCTTACTCAGAGCTCTTCTTCAGGTCTGGGAAAGGTACCCAGAGTGTCACAGTTAAATACAAGGTGGAACAGATTGTTTAGCCTATATTAACACACATTTCAAGGGACAACTCAAGGTGAAGTGGCCTGTTAACACCCCTGCAGTCATAGAGGGAATGTAAGGGGCAGGAGGCAGTTGGATGGGGGTTGTTAGTGGGTTTGTTTCTGGGATTGTTGTAGTAAACCATTAATCCAGTGTCTCTCTTCAATCCTTGTTTTTTAGTATCTAGCAAAGTTATGAATTTAAGCTCCCAGGCGCATCCTTTGAAAGTGTTGTGCAGAGGACTGATAGGTCAGATATAGAATGATCGCTTTGTGAAAAGTGTTCACCCACAGGTGATGTGGGGTTTCTGTCTTTTATCCTTTTCCTGTGTGAGTTCATTTGAGATCATTGAGTTCATTGTCTGGTTTCATCCACATAGTTGTTATTGGGGCATTTAGTGCACTGGATGAGGTACCCCACATGTTGTGATAGGCATGTGTAGGACCCATGGATCTCGAAAGGTGTGTTGTGTGGGGATGCTAATCATTGTAGAAGTGGAGCTATGCCTGCAGGTTTTGCATTTGTTGTTGTGGCACGGTCTGGGGCTGCTTTGACTTGGTGCGTGCTGATTTGTGGGGAGCCTGCTTCTGATGAGCTTGGCAGGCAGTTGTTTGAAGGTCAGAAAAGGGGGTTCAGGAAAGATTTCTTTCAGTGTTGTCCTCATCAAGTATGGGTTATAATTGTTTGGTGATACAGTGTATGGGTTACCATGTGGGTTGATAGGTAACAACTAGGAGTGTGCAGTCAGAGGGCTTTTTGGGTTAGGGTTTGGTTTTTTTTGGTCTTGAAGCAGTTCTTGTGGGGTATTTGGGTGGCGCATTCTATGAGAAGTAGATTACAACCCATACTTGATGGGGATGACATGCTGAAAGAAATCTTTCCTGAATCCCCTCTTCTGGCCTTCAAACAACTCCCCAACCACGCTAAGCTCGTCAGAAGGAAGCTCCCCAAAGACCAGCACACACCAGCTCCGAGTGGCACCAGACCCTGCCATAACAATAGATGCAAAACCTGCAGACATCGCTCCACTGCTGTGATGATCAGTCCCCAAAGGAAACTTGCACAACGTCTTCAGAAGACAAGCCTAGGAACTTAAATTTGAAATGTTGCTAGAAACTAAAAATCACAATCTTATAAAGAGACTAGATTTATGTCTTGTTACCAGGGATGCTAGAAATCTGTTTGCCACAGAAGAATGTTGGAATTTGTGTTTTTTCAGAGAATCTTGAGTTTTTACATTTTGTGAAAAAAATAAAAACATACACAGTGGAACCCCTGTTATCTGATCAAATTGGGACTGGAGCCAGATTGCATAATCAAAAATTCAGATAATCGGAGAATGGGCGGGGCTTGGGCTGTCAGCTTAAAAATTGTAAATATATCAATAAAATATTGTGTTCAGCCTACACATATTGTGTCTAGGGAAACTACAGTTCAGCATTTCACTTTAATCATGGAAAAACATGGTGGGGAGCATCACAGAAAACTAGGATCCCTAGATCCCAATGATCTGTGACCCACTAACCCTTTTTTTTTTTTTTTTGGTCCTATGACTGAAGAGGTTTTAATGGGCCACTTCACCTTGAATGGTCTCTTATAATATGTGTTAACTACTTATGCTAAACAATCTGTTCCACTTTGTATTTAGCTGTGACGCTCTGGCTTAGCCTACGCTATCAATTTATGTCGGTATAACTTCATCACTCAAGGGTGTAGATTTTCCACACCCTGAGCAATGTAACTATACTGACTAATCCGCAGTGTAGACAACACTATGTTGATGGGAGGGCTTCTCCTATTGACATAGCTACTGCCTCTCGGGGACGTAGAGTATCTATGCCTCCTGTCTTCACTAAGCCCTACTGCAGCACAGCTCCACTGGTACAGCTGTGCCTCTGCAACGCTATAAGAGTAGACAAGCTCTCTGAGTACCTTGCCCAGATCTGGAGGAGAGCTCTGTGTAGCTTAAAAGCTCGTCTCTTTCACCAACAGAAGTTGGCCCAATAAAAGATATTACCTAACCCATCTTGTCTTTCTAATATCCTGAGACCAACATGGCTACACCCACGCTGCAAACAGAAAGTTCTAGTTATTCAGTGCAAAAACTGTACTAACTCATTTTCCATAACAGCATTTTTGGATTCCTAGAGTGCAAACCAATTAAATAAGCAAATGAGCTTGCAAATATTAAGCCCGAAGATAAGATGTGACTAAGTAGCCACGTGTCCTGTGCGTTGTTGAGGGCCCGAAGGTTTGACTGTGTCACCAGAATCTTGTTCTTTGTAACTACAGATGCAGGGCTCCGGAAAACAGTAGTTACATTGACCAGGTCAGAGGGAGGATTGTGTGACATACAGCATGGAAAGTTGCCACCCCAAAGGAAATTTTTATGAAAAATTGAGCAAGTTAAAACAGCCAGGGGAGGGGCTAAAATGTAAGCTGAGTCCTAACCTTAACTCTCTCCCTCACTGCTGGTGTGGTCTGTACTTGTTTGGCTTCCCTTTTAGATACATTTTGACGGTTGGGACCACAGCTATGATTTCTGGGTCGACGCAGACAGCCCTGACATTCACCCTGTGGGCTGGTGTGCAAAAACCGGACACACCCTGCAGCTCCCGCTAGGTGAGGGGGATGAAGTCATGCCATTGCGTTACATTTTTCTTGTCTTGCCTAATCTTCAAGTGCAAAAAATATGTTGTTTAACTATTTTCATTACTAGGTGCTGCTGATATGATGGGAGTAGCAGGGCAGGGGTGTCCTACCCCCGGCTGCCAGGGTATTGGTCATGTCAGGGGACCCCGATATGGAACACATTATACGTACGTGCACCTGGGCTGTAAGGGATAATTTTCAAAGCTTGACACAAGCGTTTTAGCTGCCTGACTCTTATTGTCCATGGGAACAGTACAACTCTATCCCCTTGCACTGCATGGGTCTTGTTATTCTGTAGATACTGTCATGTCTTTGGTTGCAGCTCCCTCTTGTGTCTAACTGGACTGCTTGACTATCCGTTCAGCTTGCACTGTTGGTATCGGAAACTAGATTGTATTTCAGTGGGACGATGATTTCTACCACCCACTGCCATTAACGTTGTTCCTTTTTATAAAATAACATACCTGAAAGCAACACCCAAGATTTAAGGGAGAGGGAGCATGGTGGAGTTGTTAGTGTTTTGCTCGGCTACTGCTTATTAGGGGAGGAATAGCTCAGTGGTTTGAGCATTGGCCTACTAAACCCAGGGTTGTGAGTTCAATCCTTGAAGGGGCTACTTAGGGATCTGGGGCAAAAGCAGTACTGGGTCCTCCTAGTGAAGGCAGGGGGACTGGACTTAATGACCTTTCAAGGTCCCTTCCAGTTCTAGGAGACAGGATATCTCCATTTCCTGAGGGAGCTTGGAGGAATCAAACTCTCTGTTGTCTTAATTTTCTTCCTCTGTAAAATGGGATCATACTTGCCTACCTCACATAAGGGTTGCAAGGCTTAGATACTTATTGTCTATAATAATAATACCTCATTTTTATGTGGAGTAAAATGCTCTAAAATTCTCAGATAGAATGGGCAATAGAGGTGCAAAACATTGCGTGAATTTCTGCACAAGCCAGGAGGCTAATGGAGAACAGCTATTGTTAAGCAGTCGGTGCTGTCTAGTAGATAGAGCCCAGCACTGTGAATCATGTGATCTTGGTTTCTAATCTTGGCTCTGTCACGGGCACTCTGTAACTTAGTTTCTCTATCTCTAAAATTGGGCTAATAATACCTAGATCCCAGAGCAGTTTTGAGCCTTCATTTATTATTATTTGTAAAGCTGTTCCCGACAGAGTAGTAGAGTGGGCATACGCCATAGTGGAGAGGGACTGCCAATGGAGGGCTTACCCTGTACTTCCACTTTAACTTTTCTTGTGAGGAAACTCACTCTTTTGTACTTTCGACATTGCAGTTTCACTTTGCTTGTCGGATCAGCTCACCTTGATGCTCCCTTTGTCTCCTCCTTCCTACAAGAGATCTGGTGCCTGGGTTTGTGCTGCTCTGTGCCTGAAACACCCTCTCTTGACCCTGTGCTCCATGTAGCCTTACTCTCCTCTTTCAAATCCTTCCTCAAAACTCTCCTTTTGTCTAGTTGTCCATCACTGACCTCTGCTCTGGGCCAGATTCTGCTCTCATTTACATTGGTGTCAGCCCGTTGAAGTCACCTGTGCAACTCGGAGCAGAACCCCCTTGGCAGGTCCTCCTCTGGTCTACCTTCCCTCTTCCATGCCCCCCTGCACGCCCCTACTGCCAATTGCACATGTCTGGCAAGCAGCTGCTAAACAGACTGTCTGCTCCTCAGGGGTCTTCTGCCCACATGCTTTCCCTTGCTCTGTTCCCCCAAACGGCTGCACTTTCCTGGGCTTGTTGGTGCATGCATCCCTGATTTGGGCCGGGTGGGCATGGAAGGGCTAGATGAGGCTGTAGTAGAATGTCTTTGTTTTCAACACAGGTTAGTTGGCTGCCCGTATTCCGAAGTTAACCTCAACAGAGAAAGCTCATTACAGGATCGCCTCAGTGGGGAGAGGCCTTCACCCAGCAACAGTGTCCAGAAGCCCAAGAGACCAGAGACTCCTGCTCCATTCATAGACCCACAGGAGGACTCTCCACAGCCCAGGTGAGGCTGGCTGTATTGTTGACCAGAGCTCTGCTCTGCTGATACCCAGTGTCTGCATTATCTCACAAGACTGAAAGACGGGCGTTAACAGGATAGCAGTTAAAGCACTGGATTCATCTCTCCTCTTTATACCTGTGACAAAGAGCAGGAGTCACCAGACAGCGGTGTGGAAGGCAGATGTATCAGCCCTAGAATGGTAAAGGCCCTTTTCCCCAGGAGCTGAAATGAGGTTACCTCAGGTCAACTAGGCTCGAGTAAGGGCTGCTGATGACCTTTAAAAAACCTCTTTTCTGGTGAGAGGGTGAGGAGAGATGGGAGACAAGCTGCAGCAATGAGAAAAGGCTTCTTCTGGATGGAAGGCTCCTCTCCTCCCTGCAAGGGAAGCAACCCCCCAATGGACTGTTTGGGGAAGGGCTGGCACCTAACATAACAAGGCAACACCCCCAAGAGGAGGCAGGGGGAGAGATTCCCTTTTTGTGTTATGAAGTTGTTTCTTTTTGTTTGGCTGAAAAGCACTCCTGGGGCCTATCCTGAGGCTCACCTTGTAAATATTGAAGAGTAAAAGCTCTCTGGAGCGGGACTGATTTACTCCAGGCCTCCCACCACCAGAGGGGGGAATGCTGAGCTCTGCGAGGTGAAGCAGGTGTCTTGCCACAGTACCATTAACCCTCGCCCTGCACAGTCCCAATATGGGGCACTGCACTTGTACACTCTTTACATGCTCTAAATAGGTTTCTTTCCTCCTTTATCCTGTTGCTCTGGTCAAATTCCAGTAAGGAAATTACATTCTATTCTAGTGCCATAAATATTTCCCTTGCCCTTTCAACTGGATATAGGCTTTTTCTTTACTACTTGTCCTGAAACGCTCAAGCAGGGTTGCTGTGTGCTGTTAAACCACTGCAGCATTCCACCCTGGAGGTGGCTGCATTTCAGGGGCAGAAGAAATGATTTCTCATCATCATGAAGTGCTTTGGGAGCCTTTATGACGGTGCTTTATGAATGCAGTTGCTGTGGGAGTTGAGTATCATTCAGGAAAATCTGTGTATCAACCCCGTGGCTGCAAGAGTCAACCGAAACATATTACTGGTTAGAGCTGGGAACTAAGGGATTAATTGCCTAGGCTATATCTATGCTACAGAATTAAGTCGACCTATGTTAGGTCGACTTACAGCCACCGCAGTAATTATTGCTGTTTTTCCTGTCCACACAGCCCTCCTTCTGTCAGTGGTGTGCATCCTCACCAGGAGCACTTGCACCGACTTAAAGGAGACAGTGTGGGGGGCTCACAGCCCACTCCACTCCACCCCACTCAGTTTCAAAACAGGGACCCTACCAGCAGTGAACATTCACGGCTCCGACTGTCAGCCCCCCCTGACAGCCAACAGGTGATGCAAGTACCACAGTGACTATACAGACACTGCGTCACCCGAACTACATCAACCCAAGTTTTACGCCTCTCCTCAAGGTGCATAACGGGCAAGTTACAGTGGCAGGAGGAACACTCTGGTGCAGGGGTCAGCAACCTATGGCACGCGTGCCAAAGGCAGCACGTGAGCTGATTTACTGTGGCACGCTGCTGCCAGCTTGGGGTCGCCGCCGCCGGCCCCTCTCAGCCCGCTGCTGGCCTGGATGGACGGAATCCCTGGCCGGCAGCGGGCTGAGCAGGGCCAGCGGCCAGGATCCGGGCTGAGCAGGGGCCAGCGGACAGAACCCCAGACCAGCAGTGTGCTGAGCAGGGCCGGCGGACGGGACCCCAGCTGGCAGGGGCCGGTGGGCGGAACCCCAGACCGGCCTCTGTAAATGTAAAATGTATGACTGGCACGCGAAACCTTAAATTACTGCGAATAAATGAAGACTTGGCACACCACTTCTGAAAGGTTGCCGACCCCTGCTGTAGTGTGTACACTTACATAGTTAGGTCAACTTCAGCTGCCTTACGTCGATTTGTAGTGTAGACATGCCCCTAGATTCCTGTAGAGCCAGAACTGCAGATCTCAGCAGTTTGCTTCAGTTGTGCTATTTATTGGGGGGGGGGGTTGTCTTTTTGATTAAATGTTAATGTTCTGTCTGCTTTGCGTGGAGGTTAAAAATCCCTGGACGTGTTTAGCAGGGAGTGCAATCCCTCCAGTGCAATGTATTTGGCCAAATGTCTCTTCCCCTCCCAGCACTGTTCTGTGTCCCCCGTTGCCAGCCTCATTCCCAAGGTGGCTGCGTTTCAGTGGTGCTGTTTGTAGAAAGATTGTACGGAGCTGTGGGACCCTTGTGGGAAAACAGGCAGGATAGAAATGTAATATACTGTTGTTTTAAACAATTCATTTCCTGCTAGTGAGAGGTTTGAGTTTCCTAGTGCAAATCTTCTCCCTTGCTTCTGCTTCTCCCTTGCCTTGCACATCTGCTGCAGCTCCGTTTATGCACCAAACTTAGCCATGAAAACTTATTTAAATATTATCCAAAGGTATCAAGGTTTAAAGCTCTTGATGCACCAGAACTGATGCTTCCATGGTCCCTTCCTGCTGCTGAGATGCGAGCCTGGGCTAGCGAGGGATGGTTTCTCTCACATCGTCTCCCTGCATCAGTGCTAAGAAGAAAAGTGCTGTGCATCACTAACCAGGGGGTGGGAGTGTACGGTTTAAACCACGAAGTGGTGCTTAGAAGTTATTTTCACGTACAAGTCAAACAACATCCAGCATTCCCGGAGGAGTGGAATGTATGAGTTAATTAGCTTCAATTATTGTCTCGCTAGAAAATCTTCCATGCAAGATAGCGAAAGATCGGGTCGAAGCAGCGTCCACAGTCTGTCAGAGCAGTCTGAAAACAGTCAAGAGAAGCATTGGATTGAAGAGGAATCATCTGCAGATACCCTCGCCAAACCAAAAAAGTAAGTGAGACTTCGCAGCGTGTTTCAGTGCACTAGTAGGTAAGTGTCCCACAACAGCAGCTATACCTGAAATGGGGAAGGGAGCAGTTGCTCTGTGGAGCAGCCAGTTTGTCCAGAGGTTTGCAGTTTGTATAGTGAGATGGTGAGGTCCCATTTAAATTTCCCCACATTTGGGGGAGGATTTCTTTCCTTTGTCTGCAATGGATCCAAATCTGCATCTCCTCCTGTGAATTTAGCAGCATGGCACTACCCAAGAGATGTCTGGTGATGGGTGGAGGGAGAATAGGGGATGTGATTGCCAGTTCTAAGGAGGAAAGTTCTTGGTTTTTTGAAAAATCCCATTAACACTCGTTGCAGAAAAACAATTTGTCTCTATTGTTTGTTTTGTTACTTTTACATAACTGATTTATGCTTTCAGGGTTGGGTGCTCGCATGCCTATAGAAAGCTCCAGCTAGTGAAACAGGAATACGAAGGGAAAGGTTGGTTGATTTTGTGTGTGTGTTTTAGGTAAAGAAACCATCAAACTATTTGGTACTTCACAGCTTTTGAATCTTTAGTACTTCACCCTGGTGACTGCTGCATTTTACCTGCAGGCACTTATCTCACGTGTGTGCTACAGTCCAAATCACTCACCTCCTCACACAAATGTATTAAAGCAAATGTTAAGGGCTCTTAGAGGTATCAGATTCAATGCCCTAGAGTTACACCCGTCTTCACAGCTGCTGCCCAGGAAGCAGGAAGGCAAGTTAGCCGGACCTCTGACACTGTCCCACTGATGGACCCTCACCCCTTTTATGGAGAAACTAGTTTCTAAGGGTGAGGGGGGTTTCATTCTCCATTCACTCCTTGACCTCTCTGCTGAGATGGCTTTATGGTAAACACATGTCCACTAGAAGCTGGACTAAGAGTCACTGGCTGCTTTCCCATGGATCCCATCAGACAGGCATCACACGGTAGCAGTTTTGAATCCTGATTTTTTTTTCTTTAGGCTTTTAAAATTTTTCTAGTTTTCAGAAAATAAGAGAGAGGCCACAACAGAGCAAGGGAGGGAATATGGAGTTTTTCCTCTGGCAAGTTGTGGGTCAGTTTTTAAAGAAAAGGTTCTTACTGGTTGTACTTCCGCAAACTGCATGTTTAACTTACAGATTTACTATAAAAAGCCAGTTCAGATAGCCACGCAGACCTAGCGTTTAGCAGGATTTAACATTGTAGTAAGGTCCCAGTAAAAAATCACTAAACAGGCAGAAGCTGGAGCAGATGCCTTACTATTTCTTATTTTTACCTGGTGCTCGTCACTATGATCAGTCGTATATGCCCCTGCCAGCCAGAAGTGACTCTGGCTGTCTAGGGAACATCCATCTGTTCCAGTTAAGTTCAGCTTAGACACAGGACCGGCGCTTCCACTAGGCGACCCTAGGCGTGGCAGGATTTGAGGGGCGGCATTTTGCCACCCTCGGCAGAAATTCAGCGGCGGGGGTCCTTCTGTTCCGGGTCTTTGGCGGAAATTCAGCGGCAGGTCCTTCACTCACTCCGGGACCCGCCGCCGAATGCTCAGAGGAGGAGCGCTGCTGCCTAAGGCGGCAAAAACTCTGGCACCGCTCCTGCTTAGACAGAATCATAGACAACAGAGATGGACAGAACTATTAAGTTATTTACTGTCATGCATTGACCTACCGGTGCCTGATAGTGTCTTATTCAGGGCTTTGTTCTGACTTTAAAACAATGGAGCTGTCTGTCA